AATCCCCAACCCATGAGGAGCTCCGCCACCCCAGCCTAGGCCGTAACTTTTCGAGAAAAAGACTGGAAAAGTCGGGGAAATGGAGAAAGATTGTTGGTAAGGTGTGGGTTGAGGAAATGTGTTCGTACTGGAGGAGGAAATCCTGGGGGAGGGGTATTTTGCAAAAACTTTTCTCAACACGACAGTACGCGCCCTGGTCGCCAATTACCAACACTGTCAAATGATCAGAATACTTACTGTAACCCTCAATCTACGGGTATGGGACAATCCAGATAAGGAGGCCACGCTCCAGCAGGCACGTTCATTAGGCGTATATTACTATGTTCAATTCGCCACAATATTGAACAGTACTTCAGAATTTCATTTTTAACGATAATTATTTGTACTTTAGATGCGTCTGTATTGCTTGTACCTGCTATTGTTACTGGTAGTATCAACCAATGCCGGTTTCTTAGACTTCATTTCCAAACTAACCGGTTCTGGTAGTAGCAGTGGCGGAAGTGGCAGCAGCAGCAGATTGTCGAAAAAGATAGCTCCAGTGTCTGATGAGAAAGCCAAGGTAAGGTGGTTACAGGCGCTCACTCAGAAAACAAAGCGGCTTGAAGCCCGGGTTCGGTACGAATGTGGGCAGAAATCTCGTTCCTTGATCCTGCAGTTCCTGCCCCTTTGATTCTTCATAGCATGGCCATAGCAACGAGGTCTCCATCCATTTCTCTGAGCTCATAACTCGAGCGTTCAAGCTGCTCAGTTTTCTGAATAATGTAAAGTAAATAAGGTATTATTCATGTGTTCCTTGAAAGCAGTTGGCGTGATGATTTGGTACTCGGTCAGAAATGTTAGTAGGGCGCTATGTAACTGGAAAATGGCGAAAGAAGGGAGTGGATAACGGTCAATATCCTTTCGGCAACGAAAAAAAGCCTAGTGTTCTCTATGAATAAAAACATCAGTTTTGGACGAGTTTTCCATAGGCATCTTGCCAATAACCGCTACGGCTGCATGTAAGTACGCTGCAGACTCCAGAGGTCATACTGGAAGCTTAGAGGCATAAGCACGACAATTTAGTAGGTATAAGCAGCGGCTTGGTACAGAGGGCTTGTTTAGTGGAAATGCGACGGAAAAGCGAAGCGAAGAGCCCACACCATCCCCGCAGAAGAAACGATTTCGGACGAGTTACCCGCTGCCATCGTGCCAATAACCGCTGCGGTAGATACGGCTGGTACATATGTATATCCATATGTGCATGCAGCATCAAGGCCGCTTCATACCAATCCCTTCGCTTCATATTTTGCTTAGCAAATGAATGAATACGAGTGCGCAAGACTTCGTCCATTTTTGTGGTGGCGCGGCGTGGTGGCGGTTCGGGGTCGGTATGTTGTGGCCTGATAAGGGTTCTTATAAGTGCACGTATGCTTAAAAACGGCTATGGCAGCGCCCTGCTCAGGGAAAGACAAGAACTCCTGTCTGACAGACTGCGACCATTATCAATAAAGTCTTGGGGCTTACTGTGCAACTGGCTTTAAAGTCTTTAAGGCTTTTTTTTCGCGGGATCAACGGTTCCACGACGGAACTACTCGGGGAATGCTCCTATATGTGATGGAATAGCAGATTCATCAGAGCCGCCTATTGTGTGGTATTTTGGTCGTTTCGACCGAACCTTCTATTTCTGCCTTTTAGTCGAACCTTTAGACTTGAGCTGCAACTTCACTGTCATCCTTGCCTCTTTTCTCCTCAAGTAAGAATTGGCGAAAACGGGGTTGGGGAGTAGTATCACAAACGTGTTGAATTATTTTTACCAGAGTCCCAAACTTGAAGAGGGACGACGCATAGAAGCTGAATGTTCGTCCGCCTCTCTCCATCCTGGGCTGGTTTCAGGCATCTCCACTTACATTTCCATCGGGTGTGACGTCAACTCAAGCTATACAGCTGTCACTACCTTCATTAAATGCATTGGTTGGGCCTACCCTTCAGCCTTTCCACAAGTTCCCTCTCTTGTCATCTCAGAAAGGAAGCTTGACGATTGATGAAGGCGCGATGGTAGGCCTGATAATGCCCTTTGAGCAGTCAGATTTCTTGTCTGACGACTGCGAAGGTGTGGAGGGCAGTATTCCTGTAGTGTTCGATCCGTATATTATCATGGAGGTATTTTTATTCTTATGGGTGAGTGGTAGGTTTAGGAAGGTGTATTGTAACGATCCCATGAGGTTCTACAGTCCTTTATTCCCCTCTCACGAAGTCGAATACAATCTGCTTGGGTGGAATCAACATGGAGAACCTGTCGTTTTCAATAAGGCTGACCTTTCGCGAAATAGAACCGCAATAAACCTGAATGGTCGACATTAAGAAAACAATAATGTCTTATACTGAGTCGGAATGTGTCACGTTTGGAACCAGTTTTCGAAGGGATGACTCAGTGTTGTTTGGACGCAGCAGGTGCATGGCTATGACGCTCCTCTTTGATGAGTAGAGAAAATAGCTCAGAGATCAAGGTGGTCAAAGTCTTTCTACAATTTTTCTAGTCGTGGAGACCTAAAAGATCGCTTAAGAGACGCCCTCCTTGATCGTTGACCAACGAAGGACTGAAGGAACTCGAACTTTGTGCTGGAGGGTTGTTTGAACCGCAGCGGGCAATTTTGTAGAAAGTTTCGAAATAGGGACGTTGAAGCTCAAAGTTGCTCAAGTGGCTCCGCTCGCATTACTACTATTAGGTTGAGTCGATATGATTCGGACAAATTGACAAATTTTTTCTTTATCGTACAACTTTTTAACGACAACTGGGGTTCACTTGAAATATGCTCCATCTTCATCGATGACCTTCTGCCACCGGATAGGCAGATCGTGGATGCCCTTGCTCCAGAAGGCCGGGGCTGGCTAGGCCTCGAAGAAGTCTCGGAGGTGCCTTCTTGACGTCCGTTCGTCGGCGAGTTTTTTTGAAGTCTTGGCCGTCCAGGTGGCGTTGGAGGTGGGAGAAAAGGTGGAAATCCGAAGGGGCCAGGTCTGGAGAGTACGGTGGGTGTGGAAGCACGGTCCAACTGTACGACAGCAGCTCGGCCTTTGGTCGATCTTGCAATGTGCGGTCTCGCGTTGTCGTGCTGGAAGTAGACATGGGACCGCCGCCGTTGCGAATTTTGGACATTTGCCTTCAATTCTCGTAATTGACGAATGTAGACGTCGGCGATTACTGTTGCACCTTCATCGAGCGTTCCAGTAGCTCTACGCCGTTTAAGCTCCCACGCAAATACAGAGCATCAAACTTTTCCGGGGGGTGTGGACTGGGTTTGGGGACGTCGTTTGCGTCGGCATCTTTGTCGACCCATTGTGCACGGCGGTGAGAGTTAGAGTAGAGGACCCACTTCTCATCGCCAGTGATTATTTCGTCGAGCCAATGGTGGTGGCGCTTGAAGGTGAGCAACGAAAGTGCGACCTCGCACTTTCAGAGATTAGCCGATCATGTCCCGCTGGTCAGCCCATGGTACCCATCCGAACCGAGTTTCAAGCACCTCGCCCCGAAAATTTTTGGGAAAGAGCTTTCCCAGCCGCGAGACTGACAGTATTCTGACTCACGCCTAAGAGGGTCACCATATAGCGGTCGAGTGGTTTGATACGATCGCTTCCACCTGTACCCGCAGCGAGGTCCAAATCCAGGCTCCCTCGCGTCTCGCATGCCTACACGCCCCCTCGTCTTCGATGGAATAGTTGCCCGACGCAAACTTCGAATGCCACAAGTAGACTGTACTTCTAGCGGGGCATGCTCCTTGTAGACTTCCTTTAGGCGTCTGTCGATATCCGCGGGTTCTTGGCCAGATAGCGTTAGAAAGAGTATGACGTTGCGGAGGTAGTCTCTGGACGGCTTGAAATCGTGCGGCATGGTGGCGGAATGAAACAAGTTTGGAAAAGTGTTTGTTTTAATTGAGCTTGGAAGAGGTATTTTAATATTTTTCCCAAGTACCCTCGCGCGTACATTTGTCGTTCGACATCGTGAGCTGAGATTTATGATCTCTAGAAATCATCGCTACAATATTGTCGGCGAGCCATATTCGGACTCACATCCTAATAGCTGCCTTATCCATCCGTCTTCCTCGTTTACGCTAGCCCTCCGTCGCTGACTTATCCGATCTCGGCGCTCGAGAAGTCTTTGTATAATTCTTGTATCTGATTCGAGAGTGAAGGCCTCGCTTGGAGCCCTTTTCCGTCGCTTACCCCCCGAATTTTATTAGTGATTGCACTTTTGTTGGTTCATGAGTACCAGCAACTTTGTCAAGCTGGCGAAATGGAGGCGTTATTCTTTATTACGAACCTTAGAACTGAGCGTAACAAATTCTCATGTCTCATGCCATTGGTCATTTCACAATTTTTCGTGATTTTTAGGCAAAATTTGTGACAAGATATCGAGTTCCGGGTCTTAAAGGCAAAACCCGCGATCATTCGCTATGACAGATAGTGGATTAGGGGCTCGCATATAGAAGGAGTTAATGAAGTTAACTTGATAGTGAAGGAAAAAGCGAGAAAAAAACATGCCACCTGCCTTAGATAGAACCCCATTCTGATTTCATTTTGTACGTGCACAATGAACTCCATCTCCAACATCCGCACAGCTGAAGAACTCTACGACCGTACAGGTGACGATTTTCATGCTTTTTCGTCCGGCAGCTTCGTTCTTTCACTGAAAGGCGGGCCTTGAAGGCGGAGTCTGGAGGCGGAGTCACTGGAAAAAGGAGGCGTCACTGGACCTATCGCTATAGCGCCCCTCCCTTACAATTTTTTGCTGCGAAACCGGTACAAGGTTGTTCGTCGCGGACCACACTACCCTCCCGACGCCATATTTTCAACTTCTATACCTGATCGCGGACCGTGCCTTTAAGAACTCTGATTGGAAGTTGAGTGACTGACAATCTTGTAGAGTGTAACCATGACACATTCAGTAAATATAAGTTGATTTTCAGAAATATCTTCAAGACTTTGGCTATGTGGAACCAAGTCACAGTCTCGGTGCTGCCCCAGGAATGTCCGGAGACTTCAGCAGCGTGACGAGCCTTTTCAAACGAGCTATAGCGTTAGTGGTTCTTTTATAAACTCATGAATAGTGATTTTCTCTGCAGTGGCTGAGTTGTGTCAGGGGAAACGAGTTTGGCTCGGTGCCAGCATATTTTCCACCAATTGTTTAAGCGAGCAAGCGACAACAATTGGTGAGAATCGACTGATGCCGCGCCAAAATCAGTCCCTTGACACGCCTCAGCGTTTGCAGCGAAAACGACGGCAGATTGAACATCCCATAGGTTTACCAAATTGCTGTTCTCAGCTGAAATTCTAGACCAAAGTGTATTACCATTTAAAGTGAACCGTCCTTAAAACTTGGTGTGTGACCCAAAAGCTGGTCTTCTTGTATTATTGACTTCCTCCATTGACCGCGTTTCATTTTCAGAAAGTTCCAAGAATTTGCTGGGCTGAAACCGACCGGCGTTTTAGACATGGACACCAAGAAGAAGATGGCGGAACCGAGATGTGGAGTGGTAGATGTGCTGGCAGTGACTAGTGGAGGTGGGTGTTTCCCGATCTGGCAATATTTACAGTCGTTTTCGCTGCGGATGATGGGGCGTGTCAGAGCCGCTGGGTTTGGTGAACCGTCAGCCCTTCCTGCACAAGCTGCTGAAGCGGAACGAATAAAAGGATTTGGTTGGCGTCAGCACCAAATCCATCTCTGTTGACACGTACCACCATCCGCAGCGACCGAATTGTATTGAACAGGCTTCTGGCGTCCGTTCCACAGACAGCGCATTTTCAACCCCGGCACCCTTGAATTTAGTTCTAGACGTTTTAAACGCCATGTACGGCTCTCCATGAACCTCGGCATTGTGATGATCGTGAGATATCTTGGTTGAACTCCACCTCGTGTGGAGTCCAACCAGGATATCTCACAACTAGACGTTTTCTTGCCGAGCTAGTGCGATACTCGGGTTCAGAGTGCCAAATTATGTACTTCAGAACCCAAGTTTGCAACAAATTCGGTGTTCGAATGTGTTTTGCCGTCGGTGCGAGCGCTGAGCGGCTTTGACCCAAACGGATGCGATTTGCGTATTTTGGGGTTCGAGCAAGCCCTGGGAACAATTCCCAGTCAAATCTAAAAATGGGGAAAATTTGGGCGTGACTTAGAAAGTGGAACAATGAAGGGTACAAAGTGCAGTTTGTAGAAACTCGATATCTACCATAATTGTTCGAAAATTAAGATATTTTTGATAGCTGTTATTTCACAGGTGCCGCCTTCAAATGGCGAAAAAATCGTCTCACCTACTCAATCGAGAATTTCTCTCCCGATTTGCCACGGGAAGATGTCAGGTATGACGCCATGAACTTGAACTCAATTTTCTTGTCTTTTTTAAAGTGACCATTCTTCATGTGATTTTGGCGTTAAGATGATTGATAAAGGGAGGGGGGGGGAAGGTGGGAGGGGCAAGGGTGATAAATTAGCTCTCTCACGTCTCTTCTCTGTTCGTCTGCGACGTCTCAAAGTGATAGTGGTTGGAAGGTTGGACGTACACTGGTGAAAGCGCAAATGAGCAGGAAGTGGGTCTGGTAACTGCTTCCCCTACTGGTACTCTAGCATTCCCAAATTTTTGTTTGAATTACCTTGCCCCCTATTGACTGAAATGGATAAGTTATGCTATTTCTTCACTATGATGCTAACTATTTACTAATGATGCTAAGGTAAGCCAGTACCCTCCAAGAACATAAGACGAGAATAAATAAGAAACTTGGAAAAATCGGGTTTTTCCACTTGACGAGCGTTCATATCGGGGAAACTGCTTTGTTTTTCTCAGGCGAGCTATCCGTGAAGGCTACGACACATGGGCTGCTGTCACGCCACTCGAATTCGAAGAGGTGCCAGCCGGCAGTGGAGCGGACATCAAGGTGGGCGGCATTCCTGAAATTGTTCTAAATTTGAAAAACTTATCACAAGGGTTTTTGTATGACAATTTCCAAAAATTCAGGTTCGCTTTGGCACAGGTAATCATAACGATCCGTGGCCGTTCGATGGACAAGGTGAGACAGAGCAGTATAATCAGTAAAATGGCGCTGTTTGGCTTGATAGGGGCATTTTACATTTTCGCTAGTTTCTTTCGCTCATCCTCAATGGCACGCCCTAGGTTCGCAAATGGCGAATTGGGCGGCCACATACGGATTACGGGATTTACAGTACCACAAATGAAGAAAAAAAGCAAAAAACTTTTCTGGAATGTTGCTTATATAACCCATGCCGAACCGCATTTGTACGAACAAGAGGCGACGAAAGGGCGTGGTCGGACGAGTTCTCACTCATTGCTGCCACTTCTTTCTCATCACTTTATACTCACAGTTCGAAGTGGAGGGTACTAGCAGCACAACTGCATCGTCAGAGGTCCTCAGAAATGAAAGTTGGGCGTCGCCTCGCCATTAGGTGGGGCCGTGACTTCGTCGCGAGCGGAGTCGCGCTTTCCTCACGTACTTTTGGGCTGCGAGAGTAGTACATCCCCATGCTTGTGAACAGGACTACCATATCCAAAGAAGGCGCCTAAACATCAAACGAGCGGGGCGTGCCTTCAACCCCAGAAAAGCAGCACTAAGCGGGTACGTGACAAGAGAATCGTAATTCGCCGCGCTGGTGGGCGTCGCGTGCGACGTCGCGCCCGCAAATGACGATGGTTCCAGGTATAGATGGCGACAACAGGCAATTCAGAACCGAAAATAGTCATGAATGTCTACGATGGGGTCTACATGAAGTCCGGTGCTCCAATCGACAGGTTAACACGAGTTAAGAAAACGCCGCGCCCATCGCCGCGCGCGGCGGAGCAAATTGCGATTGTCTTGCCCGTATCCCCATTAACCTATGAAAAACTAATGTAATGTCGCTTCAGGCGGAGTATTAGCTCATGCTACTATGCCGGAAAATGGGGCACTCCATTTCGATGACGATGAAAAATGGACGTACATGGACGCGAAGAAGATCGCCAGGTATATTTACTCTGTTCATCACTCAATTTTTGTCTGTTGTTTGATATTTTACTTGATATCACTATTATTCAATTATTCTCTTACAAGTGTGGACTCTGGGATAGTAGGAATACGAGTAGCGTGCCAGATTTAAAGGCAGTTGTAGCGATTGCTGGAGCGGGCGCAGTTCGGCGACGGGGGGGGCATTTTGCACTTTTGCTACTTCCCATCGACGTGTCGACCCATCTAGACAGCCTCTTCTCGAGTTGACAGGTTCTACCATGATGGCTTGATTACGAGAAATCAGCGTGCTTGAAGCCCCCCCCCGGTCGTTTCGCCGAACACGCCGCTGGAGCGTCATTGATAGAAGGGCCCGAAGTCGCGTCGCCGTCAGTGTACAGCATCGTTGTGCGAAACCCATAGGGGGATTCGTATTTGGCCGCTGGGGACGGGGGGGGCGTGATCTCAAGGGTCACTCAGAGCGGGGCAATGCTTCGACATTTCAGTTGATAGTGGGAGTGGAGCTATGGAAGTCAAGATGTTAAAAAATGAAAATTATTATGAGTGTATTCTTTACAGATTTAACTGCTACGTTTAACAGCCCTCTCCCCAAAAATGGGTTCGTACTTGGCCGCGGGGGACGTGGGGAGTATCGCAAAAGTAGGCTCGCTAGGCATCAAACAGTACAAAAGTGTCATTGCTAAGTTTGATGGAACGGACGGAAAGCTGCAGAAGACCCGGATGTAAGGAGGACTACAAAATAATAAAAAATTGATTAGCAATATAGCAAGAATAAATAAATAAATAAATGTCAGTTTATAGCATGAACTCGTAAGTACGTAGATGACTAAATAATACGTCTCAAACAGATTCGTGCGTATTGTCCTTTCCAAACCCTAAACAAACATCTGCTTGCATGGATAAAAGCACCTGAAATCAGAATTTACACCTTTCCACCACCTCTGCGTAGGAGCGTAATGCACGGCGCACACTCGGACCAAATCGATCAGTGATGAGAGCTCCTCTTTCACTCATTTGAAGGGAAATATGTGTTTTGGAGGCACACTGAAGTTTTCGAAGGTGTATCCTCACAATGGCACAGAAGGAGTCGATTTTTCGGGTGGGTCAGAGGGTAGCGCGTCTGTGACCCATCTAAAATATCTCCTGAACTAGCGGGTCTTCAGGAAAACTGTAAAGCTTGTTGGAGAAGAGAAGATAGGGCGGTTTCAAGACGATTTTAATCCTGATGAAATTGCGTTCGAAATAAGTAATCCTCGTGTGAAGCATAAAAACCCGCTTGCCACGAGGATTACTTATTTCGAATTTACCCCTAGCCGATCCGAAACCCATCCGAAATATTTCACGAACGGGGAAACATTCAGATTGCAGCTGGGTAGAAAACGCAACAGTAGGAACATTCCCGTTGCATGCTGCTAACCATTCATCAAAAGCCGCGCCCCTCAAAGAGATATAACCCCCGAAAAGACCCCAGGACGTTGGCAGGCCCAACAACCGCGCTCCAATGACGTTTTTCCAATGAAAGCAGTCGCAACGTTGCGATCGGTAATAGCCAAGTATAGAACGATGTACTGCCGCCTGGTTATCCTTTTTTCATTTGGCTCCGCATTTTTTTGTATTTTTCATGTTTCGCTTTGTTGTGTCGTGCATGTTTTCATGATTTCCCCGTCACCATTCATTGAATGCACATCTGGGGCCTGACACACTGACCTTGGGGCTATTTTTTCACCAATTTAGCTTATCAATGATCACCATTAGTCGCTGTTTCGATTGTGTTCCTTGTTACAAGTTGCATGTCATACATAGTTATCGAACGAGGAGTTTTATTTTGAATCCTAAGACAAAATTGTAGGTAATGCGAGGCTGTTGTTCAGCCTCATATTGCATGAGGCTGAAACAGCCTCTTATTGCCTGGATTTTAGAGCAGAGTCCGCCTTTCGAAATCCAGATTCCATTTAGGAAGCCATTTCGTGTGAACATGCATCTGGTTGTCAGTTAGAGCAGGAGGGGGGGGGTCGTAACTGGACCCTCTTCGAGGGGGGGGGGGTCGTACTCACACCGCCATTTCGCACATCCCCATGCTATACCCTGGTCGCCGTCCTCCGTGACGCTCGCAACAACCCTCAACCTCCAATGATCATGTCCACTGCTCTTGAAGGTCCGACTCAGCCTCATACGGGCAACTTTGTAGGCCTATCAATGCGCAGTCCTTATTGTAGTCTCTCGTCTTCCGGAAGGAGGAGAGAGAGGAGAGAGAGAATGATGGAAGACGAAAAAACGCACCAATGATAGATGTGCAGCGGTAGGCCTGGCTACGCCCATAAGTCCACGGTGAACTGGACTTTCGAATGCAATTATTAAACTGACGTTGGGCGTTCCATATACTGTGGATTTTTCATGAGGGCATTTTACTTATACTTTGGCTAGCTTTTTTTTGCTAGTTCATGTGAGCTGACAGGTCTCAGTTTGGTGAAATTTGTAAACTCCTGTGAAGCTGCGAAATGGTACAAGTGAGCTAATTCGTTCACAGCTTCACGACTTTACAGGTTTACACGAGGTATTCCGTACAAGTTTCGCTGAGTACCGTTTGGAGCCCCCACCAGGCCAAACTGAGCCCATTTCATATCGTTGGATACATTAAAAAAAACCTCAAAGAGCTATAAGTGACCTCAGGATGCAAGGCAGCATGCCCAAAAGAAAGAAAGGAAAGGGTTTCCTACTGATCAGCGGCTTTTTGAAAGAAGAAAGTCTTTGTGGAGGAACAGCGTACAAAATGTTATTCTTTTTTATATTTTCTAGCTTTCCATCTGAGCTTGAGCACTAATATAAATGGAAACTTATGCGAAACATAAATAATTTCACCATGATGTCAAAATTTGATATTCCGATCTCATTTTCACTTTTTCCTCTTTTCAATCTTTACTAGTGAGCGAGTATACTCTATGGTATTCAGCGGCGACTATACAGATCTTCTTGCTGTAGCGATTCACGAAGGGGGACACACACTGGGCCTCTCGCATTCGAGGGATGAAACCTCCATTATGGCGCCGTTCTATCATGAAACGGTAAGTCCATTACTTAGAGAAGTTCGATACGATATCTGCTGCGTTTGTAATTGCATTGTGTAATTTAGGTGGACTCAAGAGGAAACTACATTAAGCCTACATTGAAGTCCGACGACATTTCCAGCATCCAGGATATCTACGGTACGTGATTCCTCCAGTTGGCATGCTTGTTTTGATTTTCTTGAAAAGGACTTGTCCCAATAAGCTCTTTCCAGGTCCCCGAACTTCTCCTCGTCGACCCAGTGGCGGCTCGTCGTTCGGTGGCAGCGGCTTCGATTCTGGTGAGCATTAATGTAATATGAGGAGATCCACAGTATCGTTCACTGCGAATGCTGGGGCGTTTCAGGAGGACTGGGTTTGCCGCGACCCCAGCCCAATTTCCACCAGTTGTTGTTTTTTTGCCCCCTTTAACAATCGGTAGTGTCGACGCTGTGCCAAAATAAATGTAAATTTTCCCCCTTTATAGAGCGACCTGAAAACACGGGTATCCTATCGTTTTTGCCTAAAACCCGAATGTTGAGTCCGTATCGAGGGTGAGACCAATACGAGGGGCAGGCTTTCTGTTTTTATTTTTCGAACCATCCCCAAATCCTTTCAAAGGGAATAGGCGCTGTTGCGGCGCTTCGGAGTTCAATAAAAGAGGCTGAGCGTATTCCGTTAGAGAGCTAACCCTTCACTTGTTCAGGTCGCGGATCTTCCAGAGATCGTGTAACCACTGAAAGGCCAACAACGAGAAGCTGGTTTGGACGATTTTTCGGCGGCGATGGTAGGTGGTTCCCTTAGCCACTTGTACAATTGGTCAATCAAGAAAATCCATCAGTTTGGTATACTCCGTTCAATCTGAGGCTTTCATAAGCTGTCATTAATACTGTAATATAAATATAATCCACAAATCCTAAATTTGTAACTCATTTTAAGATGATCCCAAAGATTAATCGCAAAGTTCGAACCTGTGTCAAAGTTGCAATATTCGTATTCGCACAACCCAACTACATTTAGAGGCGAATTTTAGTGGAAATGTATCAGCCTGTTCGCTGCGAATGATTGGGCGTGTTAGGCAGCGTTCAGACTTCGCGACGGCAGCGCTCGGTCGCGCGTTCGGCGCGATCGATTTCGACTGCATCGATCGCGTCGAACGCGCGACCGAAGCGCTGCCGTCGCGAAGTCTGAACGCTGCTTAAAGACACTCCCCGCGATCAAGTGGTCCTCAAAATGACTTCGTGCTTTTTGGAACCCTCTACGCCTTGACGAAGATGATACCACTTTCATCCCTCAATATGGCGCGATAAGGAAGTTATAGCGATTTCCACAAGGCTCGCTAGGCTCGCTGACACGGTAGGTGGACGAGGCGTCCGGTCCCGAGCTGCTTCCGTCCCTTTAAAGTATCCTATTTCGAAAGTCGGGACGCAATTGCGGCTGCCGCATCGATTTCTGGCAGCCACGTCCGGCACACTCGTCCAGGCCCCGCCCCCACTTTCTTGTTTTCCGCGCTATAACCTCTCCCAGGAGCGCCTGCCCCTAGCGAAAAGGAGGTCCTGTGTTCAGGTGTTCGCAGTGATTTTTTTTTAAATTTTTTTCCTAACCTGAGGGTTAGCAAAATGGCCGCTACCCGAACACTTGATCGCGGGATTTCTCTTTAATGAGGATGAGTTGCGCGTGGCGCCATAGCGATTAGGCGCAATGACGGGTCGCTTTTCTTTTTTTTGGCGAGTGGCACAATTGTACCATACTGTCTGCCGTCTCCCACCAGTTGTTACCCATTTAAACAAATGGCGGAGAGCAGGCTAGCGGCGCAGCAAACCCAGGAGCACTTAGGCAGCGTTCAGACTTCGCGACGGCAGCGCTTCGGTCGCGCGTTCGACGCGATCGATGCAGTCGAAAGCATGCGCATCGATCGCGACCGAAGCGCTGCCGTCGCGAAGTCTGAACGCTGCCTTACACGCCCCATCATCCGCAGTGAACGAGATTGTAGCTTGAATATTACAGCGTAGCGTAGTAGAAGGTAGATGATTCCCACTTCTTGTCAACGACTGTTTTGCAGAACTCTTCCATGTTAATATAATACCCTTCGATTACGTGGATGAACTGCAAAGTCCTTCAAGTTCGTCAGTACAGGAAGGGAAAGGAAGCGCTATCTGCATTATCATACTAACAGTTTTATTTCACGTTTTCTTCAACTGGTTCAATGAATCTGTGTGAAAAGTGAAAAGATCTCAAAGGAATTGAACATGAAGCTTCGTTATGCTGAATGATATCAGAAAATTGCATTGTTAAGGAAGGCAAAATAAATAAAGAAAAAAATATGAAAGGAAAAAGGTATGCCATATACGCCTTCTTAGGATACGCCATGTATGCTGTACCCTTCTAGACTATTAGTCCTCATTCTGGCACAGCTTATGCGACATCATTAACAACACCCCATCCATGACGGGGGAGACGGTCAAGACAATCGCAATTCGTCACTCCGTCGCGCGCGGCGATGGGCGTGGCGTTTTCCGTGTTTGCATTAGGTTGTCAATTGGAGCGGAGCGACTTAAATCTCCGTTGGCCGATCCTTGCAGCTTCGCCGGTCCCAGACGACGCCGCCCTGTCGGAGGCCCCCTTCAGGGGAACGAGGCCCATAATTATCACTGATTTCGGCGTGAAGAAATTTGACCATTGTCACAGGCATCTGACGCGGCACCCTCGGCATTAGTTCGGTTGGAACATTCCAAACCGTTCACCCCCCTCACGCCACGTTCTGCTGTGGATAGGATTGTGGGGGGGCGGATTAGAGCACTGAACTCACAAAAATTGCAAAGTCTTACACATTCACGGCTATTTCGGTTATACATTTGTCTACTGTCGGCCATTTGCAACCTGAAAAAACATCGCCTAATTCGCGCATGCGAACGTCAAACGCGACGCCCATCAGGAGGCGATCTGCGATTGTCTGATTGTTTTCGTGTCACATATCCCATAAGCCAGAGGTGATGACCGCAAGGCCAACCCACTCTCCGCGACACGTCCCAGCTCTGTAGGCGAGAATGACTCTGATTACTGTTGCAGTGTACTACGCGTAAGCCCTACAGCGACGCCTCCTAGCGGGCATTTGGCCTGATAATTTTCACTGAACCTAGTCCATTCTTCGGTTCACACCTTTGTGGTCAGTTGTCAGAGTCACAACGATTGACGATGTCCTGGTGTGTTTAGGTTGCGTTGGTAGTTTGCGTCAGCGTCCACCAGTGACACCAGCATTCCGAGGTACGCCAGCGCCAGCGATTGAGAAGTATAGAATATTCGATCTGGCGACAGCAGCGTCGACCAGCATCTGCCAGCTGCCTCGCGAAGCTTCGAGGAAGATCAGCGGTATATAGTTATCGACTAGAGAAACTCCAGCGTAGACGCCAGTTAGCAGGTGCCAGTTAGCGTCCAGGGAGCGGAGAGTAAAAGCACAAGGAAGGTTAGCAGATAGAGGGCTATTGGGAGATCGCTGAAATTGAGTTATGGCGTGGTGCAACGCAAAGTTACACCTGCGATCTTGATGTACGGTGTAGTGCAGTTGTCCCTTGCACACGCCGCGCTTGCCCAACGCCTAATCCAGCTGTCTACTACCCTCCTACTTCCCGATACTCTCCATTCGTGAGTGCTTGTATGCTGGTAGACGTTAGCATTCGCTAGATCGATACCTTTACTTCCCTGGCCGTACGAGACGATAGTGGAGGCAGGTGGATGCTGGTAGACGCTGGGTCCACTTGTTCGATATTGTACTTCCCTAGTTGCTAGCGCTGGCGTACGCTGATGGACGCTAGTGGTCGCCGGTGAAGCTGATGCAAAGTATGAACGCAGACTTACCGGACCAGTTTTCCCAAACGGGAATAACTGGAGAGATATCGGTCAAATATCGGTACCGATATCGGGTGGGCACTCCGTTGGCCTGATGAGAGTTCATCAGGTCATGTGTTGTCTCATGAAGTCCGACCGGTCATGAGACTGGGCTCAGTGTGGGTCAACAGGTGCCACCCGCAGACCGCCGAAACTTGTTCTCCATGCGCGGCGGCGTGATGAGTCATCCTGGTCGTGTCTGTTGTTCACGCGGCGCCTCGTAACGAGCGTGATCGCCATTCCGCCACCGTGTGTCCTGGCGCCAGGGCACGTTGTACGTTGGGAACTCCCTAAGACGGGATAGCACCTTGCCTATGAAGGGGAGTAGGGCCGCTCTGACCTGCAAAAATTTTTCCTGATGTTTGGTTATCGTTTCGCACACATGCTCCCTCTCCTCTCCGCTTGACTGCACATTTTTAGGAAGTTTATCCTTCGGTTGTGGAAAGTGCTGGTACCGAGGTAGAAAGCTCTTCAGGGGGAGGGGCGTATTTAGCGAGAAATCCCTCTAAAGCTGGAATGTGCCATGCCTGGCGCATCTGAGGGTTTTGGCAGCACGGGGCGGGATTACACCACCGCGCGCAGCAGCAGCGTAGTCACCCAGCTGCACGTAAAGCATAGCGGGATGGCAACCATTCACGAATGCCCGTCCTCTGCTAGCCAGCCCAGTTTGAAACGGGTTTGTTTCGGCTCACGCGAGCGCCACTCGCCGTTGCTTGACCTTCACCCCGGGAAGATAATAGTGGAACTACTAACAATAAAAGGAAGGAACAATGAAGGTGCATTTGTGCGCAATTCAAAGCCAAAATAAATTCTTTGGAAACGCAAAACAAACGGAAACTAAAAATGCTGCC